AGCTTAGATTTAAATCACATGTCCTAAAGATTGATCAAAATTATGGTATAGTGCTAGTCAAAATTAATTACAAATTTACTGCGCTACCCAATACCATATTTTTTTTACCACATTTTGGTATCTAGAAAGGCAACTAAATAGGCATAAAGGGTAAGTACTTTAATATAAAATCCAACATCCAACCAGGTGCAAGGGTCAGCATCCTCAATATAAAACCAGATATTTAAATAGCTACAGAGGACCAACAACTCCATTAAAGAATTTAGCATGTAAATGACTCAGAAATAAGAAGAAAGCGTGGTATTTAGATTATATAGTGATAGTTAGGTTAAATGGTAGATAATAGTAAGATTATATGGTGGTAAAAAATACAGATAGCAAGAAAGATTTAAAAGGATAGTTTGAGTATAAAAAGATACCTGATATGCGAAAATAAATAGATTATATAGTGATAATTAGATTATATTATTTAGATTATATAGTGATAATTAGATTATATTATTTAGATCATATGGTAATACCCAGATTATATGATGATATTTAGATTATATGGTAGTACCCAGATTATACAGTAATATTTAGATCATATAGTAGTATCCAAATTATATAGTGGTAATATAATCTAGAGTAAGTGGGATATCACCATGTAATATAATTATATTACATAGTGGTATTCTACTCTATAGCTATAATTTTTCATACTAAATAAATTAATAATAGTTAATAAATATATTTTTATATTTATAAAAATAAATATAATATGACTTTTAATCTATTTCTTTGATGAGTATGCAAAAAAACTCATTAATAAAAATAATTATTTTACTGAAGCTAAATTTATATAAATACTAAAATTTTTATAGTAACAAATCCTGATTCTTTATACATTGTAAAATAATAATACTAATATGCTAAAATATTTTCACTAAATTATTCAAATGTATCATCATTAAAAGGCAATTTCTTTATCTGATAAGATTCAAATTCAACAAGTTACTTAGTTGGCTTATTATTTATCTATACTTTATAATAATAATCAATTCAAGTTACTATCATTATAAAATTAATTGATTTTAAATCAGAGTTAAATTTTTTAAATCTATATTTAAGATAAAAAATTAATGAAAGTAATAATAATGGTTATTTCCAATTTTTTCAATGATTTTCAAGATGTATTATTATACCTTCAACTAAAAATTGATTTGAATTTTATTTCTGAAATTTAATAAAATATTCAAATGATAAAGCAATATCAAATAGTCAAGCTTTATCTAATTGCATTTTATCAAGTGCTTCACAATAAGGTTGCATTAATGTTGCAAGCTGTGAAATTCATGATTAAAATAATTTATCCATAATTATTTGACAAATATTAATTAGAAGATATAATTCATCAACTAGTCTTCTTGAAGCTTTAATTTCAGGAGATTTATATTATGTAACTAGATTCTATTTTAAAAAGCTATATTTTATATTTTTTTAAAAAAAACAATTAATTTTACTTACTCTTAATGCTTGTTTAGTATGAATTAAGTTTTTAAACATTTATAATAGGAATTCCATTTTGTATCTCTGGATTTGATTATTGCAAAACATTTACTATAAAATTTTATTTGAATATCTCTTAATTTTCTAATAAAATATACATTTTTGAGAATTTGTAAAATAGAGATATAATTTAACAGTATTGATAGATACTTTTGCTAAAATATTAGACTTCTTAAAAATTTCTCTAACAGGTAAGTTGTATTGATAGGCATGGTAAAAAAATATATTTGGGATATTTAAGATGAAGTTGTTGTCTATATAAAAAATATAACAAAAATTAAATAATTAAATAAATATTTATTTTTTATTTTTTTTTTAATACATATTAAAAATAAATTAATATTTTATAAATTTGTAATATTACTATATTACTATTTTATTTTAAAAATTTTCCTTTTATTTTATATAAATTAAATTAAAATAACTTACCATGCTAAAGCATATGCTACAGCACTATCACTTACAACTGCAGTTACTTTTATTAATTATTACTTTAATTCTTGTAATATTTCTTTAACATGTAAAATAATATCAATTACATACTCTTTTCGTTCACTTATATCTATTGTTTTCTATATCAAAGTTTTACTAAAAAGTAATATTATCATAACTTCAAGTAATTCTTAATTTATAATATTTTTCTATTTATCAAATGCAAATATAATACAATCTGCTTATATACTTAATTTAGTTTATCTCATTGCAACTTATCAATATTTTTGACAGCTTGATTTAATATAGAACCAGATAGTTATTTTCAATCTAGTAATTTTAAATTTGAATTTAACCAATAAAAAAAAGCTTAGGTAGAAGGATTATTAATCTATTGAAAAATCTAACTATTAGCCACTATCATTTTAATTAAAAGATCATGAAATATAGGAATTTCAGTTTTGGTAATATTTTGCACAGCATATTTAGATAGCAGTAATTGCTTAGATTTCTCAGTTGCTTTTTATTAGATTCAAAAGATCAACTTGTAGAACATGTAGAATTTGTAGAATTTGTAAAAAAATTAGTTATAGATGTAGTATCATTATCATTTGTAAATAATAAATCAATAAATTAATTATTTTCTTTTAAAAAAAAAATATAAAAATTTTAAACTAACTATTTAAATTTATGCGTTTATTTATAGGTAATTCATCCTTCTTTTCATCACTGATACAATCTCTTAACATTTCTTCTTCCCTTTCACCATATTTGTTTTAAAAATATGCACAATTTAATAAATATTTTTTAACTTATTCCTTTCTATTTATTATAGGGGTTGCCTTTTCTTTTAAAACCTCATTACATGCTTTATATACATATTGCTAATCTTTATCTTCTGAGTTATTTTTTTTTCAAAACTATTATATATTTAGAAAGATTATGTCTAGGATGACTTTCAGTTCATGTCATAATCAAATATTTAAAAATATAAAAAAAAATGTTATTAATTTTTTATTAAAAATTATAGAAAACGTTTAAAAAATATTATAACTAAGTTATAACAAAATTTGTAAAAAGAAAAAAATTGGATTATTCTATATAAAAATTTAGCAAAGAATTGTAGATCTTACCGCTTTCAAGTATTATCACTAAATGGACATGTGATACTGAAAAAAAGTAATAAGAGAAAAACCCTTTAAGTTTCAAATTCTAATCTCAATTTTACATAATCAATGAAGAAAAATATAAAAGAATTCTCTGAATTAAATCTTCTGAAATAATGATGGTAAGAAAATTCTTAATTTATTTGTAAGATTTATTTTATATTTATATAATTTTCAATTCAAACTACATAAAGTGTAATTGATAAAAGAATAGAAAGTATTAAAACAGATTGTTTTATCCAATATATATTCTTTACTTATAACACTGCTTTAGTATCTCAAAGCTATTTAAATAGAACAAATAAATATAAGAAAACTAAGACAAAAATATGATTTGTAAAATTTCAAAAATTGATATTTTTGTATCAAATGTTATATAAAACACATTATGTTTGATGTTCTGATAGTTGTGCTCATCTTGAAATGTTTTTTACAAGCATTTTTTTAGTAATTCAGATAAACTCATTAGATTTTGCTATTGATCTTATATCTGTTATTGCTTATATAATCAACTTAACCCTATAAATTATATAAATATAATTTAATTTGAAGAATTTAAAGTCTAATAAAGGATTCTGATTATTGATAATGTTACCTATAATTTATAATACCAGGAATTGGCTTTTTATTATTAATTAATTATTATTAATGATATTATGAGGATTGTAATTTAAAATAAATGAACTCTAATCTGATAATTATAAGATAAATTAAGATTATTATTATATATTTTTTAAAATACTTAATATGTAAGCTTTTAAATAAACTCACTAGTTCTGATACTTTTGGATCTATTAATAAAGATCATTAACAGAATTGGCAAATACTATTCTGATTTTACTAGCTAATTATCATCATTATAATATGTTAATAATGGTTATTATGAGAATGAACTATTTTTTGAGATGTGAGCATGAAAATACTAATATAATAAGCACTAGCTGAATTCTTTCTTTCTTGAGTTTTTGTATCAAATTGACCTTTGTCATAAAGGATGTTAAACAAAATTATAAGCTATTGAAATGATTATATTTTGAAGACTTGCATTATTATAATGATTTACCGCTTATTTTAAAACAACTCTGATTAACAAAGAAACTTTAATTTTGATCTTATACTTTTTTTAAAAGTATGTATATAAAACTTTTCTCTGATCAGGTTTTAATCTGTCAAAAATCTTTTAAAATTAAACGTTTATAATCAGCTTAATTGAACAAGATCAACTCTTTAATTATAAAATTCTTTATTATGATTTCTTTCTTATCATAATTTATATAGATATCAGGTTATAAGAATATAAAGTTTTTGAAATATGAAATTTTCATTAAAGAAGTTACATTTTAATTAGAATCAAGAAAACAGAGAAAAAAAACTATATGCACTATTTCTTACTTTCTTATTATTAAAAGTTAAATTAATTAATTCTCATTCATCTTTAAGAGCTCTAAAAGGTTTATGATACCTTAGACTTCTAAGATAATCTTTAGCTTCCTGAGTATTAGAAGTATCAAGATCTTAGAAACAAAATAATATTATAACAAATCAATTGTTGTAAAAATTATCTATAAAAAAATTATCTAGTAATATTTGACCTTTTGATTTTAAGCATTAGAATCATTTTCTTTTAATTTTATATTCAAGCATAGTAAAAAATGACACTTCTTTATATACTAATAAATTTGATAAATTATAATAGATTTTCTGATTATTTTATTAATTTAAAAGTTTTATATATTTATAATTAGTGTAATGAATTTCCTATAAGAAATCCAGATTTGGAGAATTTCGTTAAACAGAAATTTTCACATTAGATTGATAGGATAATCTAATATAAATATCTTTTGATAAAAGCTTCTAAACTTTAAACCATAAAACTGAAGGATAATTCTTATCATTATATACCCAAATTTTTATAGATTGATGTAGATTGAAAGTAATTATTTTCAATAAGTCTAATTAAAAGTTTGATTAGTGAATTTTTTTTGAAAATTGCAATTAAACTCATTCAAACTTATTTACAGAAACTATTTAAATCTAAGTCATTAGCATTTCTTTTAAAAGGATTTTTAATTTTATCACTAATCCTTTAAAAAAATAAATAAATACATCAAATAAATTAAATATGAAAGAAATTTAAAAGAAGTTAAACTTACTGTTTAATTCTATCAAAATAAGTAAAGTTATGAAAATAATAGAGATAATTGCATAAGCAAAATTCAAATTAATAAAGTGAGACAATAAATCCAAACAGTTTAATTTAAATAAATGAATTGAATAGGCTAATGGAATAGGAATTCTTAAAATTCTTTTTACTAAAGATATCAATCAATCAACTAAAGAATTTAATGAAGCGTGCATTGAAATTTTAATTAGAATATTGACTTTCTTTGTTGTACTTTTTCTTCAAGATATGATGTAAGGTAAAGTGTTATAGTTAAAGGTAAATTATGATTTTCAGGTATTAGAATAAGTTTTTTTCTAATTTTAGGTTTTGGACTTGTTTAAACTAGTTTTAGATTAGTTCAAAACTCAATTAGATAGTCATGAATTGGTTTTGGACATGTTCAAAACTGTTCAATTTAATTAATTAATTGAACATGTCTAAAACTTATTACTGACTTATAATACAAATCTATAATATAATAATTATTTTGCAATATTATAATTATTCTATATATAATAACTATTTTGCAAATAATTATACAATAAAATAATTAATATATCACAGTTTAATTATAATATTACAAAATAATTATTATATTATAAACTTTATTATAATTATTTATAAATTTTATATTATGAATACTAATTAAATAATAACATATTAGTAAAAAATCAGATATCTTAATCTTTATTAATTCTTTACTGATTTTATTATTATATTATTTGATATTTATTTATGATTTATTTCTAATTTTTCACTAATACTTGTTTAAATTCTAAATAATATCAGTAAAATATACTTAATAGGTATTAGATTTAATTAGTAAAAATCAGATTACTAATCAAATAAATAATATATAATTATCAATACTGATAGTTTCTTTATATATATTTAATATTCATATACTATTTGATTAAAATTATACTTTTTATTATGTATATACACATATTTTATTATGATATTATATACAATACATTATCTTTTCAAGCGTATTGCAGGCAAATTTGCCTGCAATTTTATTTAATAATTAAAATTATTTATAATAATTAAAGATGGTTCTATAATTGTTAATTACAGTGTCTATTTTTAATAATAATTTTTAAATATTTTATAAAATTTCCTAAATAAAACTTCAAAAAAAAAATGTAATATTTTAAAGGTAAATATATAATAAATTAGTATTGAAAAAAAGTTAGAAATATAAAATATAATAATTTAATAGGTCTTAATAAGATGAAATCAAACAAACTAAATTTTATTTTTTTTGTAATCATTAGATAATAAGTTATTTTAAAGAATTAAAAATGAAATATATTAATAATTACTAATTTTATACCTACGTTTTAAGAGATACAAGCAATAGATACAGTACAACAATCATATAAGTAATTTAAAGCTATATATCTATATAATAATTTTTATTTTTCTTACTAAATTTAATTTATCTTCTGTCAAGCGGCACGCAGATCATTTTCCTATTGTACCACTTTTTATCTTCGTATCATTTTTTCTCTAATGCTATCAGATAGACAAAGTAATGTATATTTAGATTAAATTCGAAAAATAAAATAAAATAATTAAATTAAAAATATAGAGGAATTAAAAAAAATTAGATATTATTAGAACGCGCGATTATAAAAAAAAAAATTTTTAAAAAAATTGCGGGCGAACATTAAAAAAAATAATTTAAAATAAAAACCCACGATTATATAATAATTTGTATTTTTTTTTTAATATCCTCGAACTTTTTTTTAACAAAATTAAGAAAATTGAGTTAATTAAAAAAATTTAAATTTATCATTAAATAAAAATATTAGAGTTGGATTATTTTAAATTTTGATATTCTAAAATCATTTCACGCCATATTAGCTATCCCCCGGTATACAATTATATTGGTTTATTTAAAACATGAATATTTGTCACATTCGTTCATATAAAATCTAATTCACCTTCCACTCCATATAGTTAGACACTTTTTAATAATTGTAATGTGTGATGTGCTGAACATTATATATGACCAAAAATAGATTCGATTTTTATATGATTATCGATTAATTCGTTTTATTAGAATCGATTCCAATCCTTAGTTTGTTATTACAGTAGTACAGTATTTTGACCGTTAATCATTAAAAAGTTGGGAATGATATAGACAGAAATACTTTGAACGACACAAACGAAATCCAAACTTTTGAATTTAAATTTTTTAAGGATTGAATTTTTTCCTTTTTTGTTTGAATTTTAATCTAGTTATGGAAAATTATAAATTAAATACCGGTACTCTGCAAATCATGAGCGGAGTTAGGTGCACAATTAATATCTAAATCACCAAATTTAAATCTAAACCATTGTCCTTCATCATTGGATATTACTTTTTCATCTTCGTCAAATAAATTTTTTTCTACAAATAAAACATTATTATCCCGATCCACAAGTATAATAGTTGATGTACGTGTAGCATAGGATCCACCCCGATCATGTTTCTGTATTCTAATTGAAAACGTTGAATAATTTAAATAATTTTCTTTTTCAAGGAGACTCGTCGTCATGGGTTTGTATGGTACACTAATACTTTGAGAAATTAGGAATATTAAAATAAATTTTCATTATTATTAAAAAAAAAAAAAAATTTATTTTTACCTGAGTAAGTTAAATAAACGATTCACAAGATCAGATTCGTTAGTAGATTCTTTAAGAATTGATTGCATTTCATTTATACCAACAGCAACTTTAGGCCAAGGATTTTCTAGTCTACTATTACTTAATCCATAAATTTCACCTTTATTCAATTCTTTAATTCCAATATTTCCTCTATTAGCTAAATAATTAATTGTTGGTATAGGAAGACTTAAATCTGATGCAATCAGATTAAATCCACCATATTTATCAGACCGATTTAAAAAACTTTCAAATTGTTCATGTAGAGGATCTTCAGTTTCAAGAATTGATCTAACGATATTACCACGAGATAATAATAATTTTGGTGGTGGATGATCATCACGATAATTTGTTAAAGCTGCAAATTTACCATAACGATTTATTCCTAACCAAGTTCCCTGATCTGATGCCAATAAGTCGAGACCTGATAAAATATTTGGATTCCACCAAGATGCCAATAGAGTCGGTCTTTTTAAATATTCATCTCGATTTGCTGCAAATACGCTAAAAAAAAAAAAAAAATATTTTGAAAACTCTCAATTTGTACAACATAAAAGATGATATATATATATACATACAATTTGTATTTTGGATGATTATCAACAGTCCAAAATAGGGTACACATAATTAAAATAAATTTCTTTGGGGTTAAAAAATTTCATATGAAAGGAGACAAACTTTGGGTGGGAAAGTAACAAATTTATATAAAATTTTTTTAATGTATTGTGTCATCGGCTTAATTTAGCATTTATATAATTGAGCCCATATGAAAATTTGAAAGCAAGTTTATGTCGATCAGTTTTTTTTGGGGGGAAAACACCAATTTTTTGTGCTTAGCATGTTTAATTTTTTTTCCGCCCCAATCATATAAGCAAACTTTCTTCACTCAATTCGTTTTTGTTTATCTGCATCAATAATATAAACTACATTGCCCCAAAAGAAATTTCATCCCCAATGAATTATCTGGTTTTTATAATGTTATCTTAAATCAACATAAAAATATATATACACTTGAAATTTCATTAAATAAATTATTTTTTTTATCGTTCTTTTTACCTTTTTTTTTTCGCGTTTAAAATGGCAGCACATTCAACAATTCCTACGACAACGATTTCACCAGGCTCACATGATCTAAAAGATAAGCCTAAAAAATGGCATATTAGAGATGATCCGATTACATGGTCGAATTGGTATAAACACATCAATTGGTTACATACACCATTACTCATTTCTATACCATTAGGAGGTTTCTATGGGTTATTCACAACTCCCATTACGATGTATACTGCAATTTGGTCCGTCATTTATTATTTTGTTACCGGATTAGGTATCACTGCTGGTAAATTTTATCAATTTATTTATTTATTTTTTTTTCTTGAGAATTTTAATGAAAAAACTATTTACAAATGCCAGATCAATGGTGTTTTTGCATTTGTTAAATATTTGATTTTATTAAATTTAATGATCTAATAATTAATAAATTACAGGACATCACAGGTTATGGGCTCATCGTGCATATAAAGCGTCTCGACCATTTGAAATATTCTTAATTTTTGCATCATCTGGTGCAGTAGAAGGTTCAATTCGTTGGTGGGTCCGTGATCATCGAGCTCACCATCGATACACGGACACTGATAAAGATCCTTATAATGCCCATAAAGGTTTATTTTATTCACATCTAGGTTGGATGATATTAAGACAAAATCCAAACGCTATTGGACGAGCTGATATATCTGATTTAAATGCCGACCCAATGATAAGATTTCAACATAAATATTATGGTTTATTTGCTATTGTTATGGGTTTCGTGCTTCCTACCCTTGTAGCTGGTTTAGGTTGGGGTGATTATTGGGTAAGTGATGAGAAATCACGTGATTTTCTACAACCACGCGGGCAAAAACTTAATTCTTATTTTATTATAGGGAGGATTTTATTACGCAGCATTACTTCGTATGACGTTCGTACATCATGCAACGTTTTGCGTAAATTCATTAGCACATTATTTAGGAGATACAACTTTTGATGATCGACATTCCCCTCGTGATCATTTTATAACAGCGTTATTATCACTTGGTGAAGGATATCATAATTTTCATCATGAATTTCCACATGATTATCGTAATGCTATTAGATTTTATCAATACGATCCAACTAAATGGTTAATTAGAGCTTTATCATATCTTGGATTAACTTATCATTTGAAAAAATTTCCTGAAAATGAAATTATAAAAGGTAAAATTTTTATGAAACAAAAGAAATTGGATGAAGAAAAATTAAAGGTTAATTGGGGTAAAGAAATTTCTAAACTACCTGTTTTCACATTTGAAGAATGTTAGTATTCTATTATTTATTAATGATTTTTTTTCTTTCAAAGAAGAAATTAACTTTATTTCGTTTTTTTATATCAAAATAGTTCAAGAAGCAGCTAAAATAAATAATTGGATTTGTATAGAAGGTATCATTCATGACGTTTCACCATTTTTCGATGAACATCCTGGTGGTCGTTCGTTATTAACAACTTCAATAGGTAAAGATATGACAACTGCTTTTAACGGAGGTGTTTATGATCATTCTAATGCTGCTAGAAATTTAATGGCGACTTTTAGAGTTGGTGTTATTGCTGGTGGTGGAGAAGTTGAACTTAGGAAATCAAAATAACTGCAAATTAATCAATCAGAAGAAACATTTATTAGTTGAATTTATAGTTTGTGTATATTTATACAACAAAGAAATGTTTATTTATGATGAATATTTTATTTCAATCTTAAAGAAAACAATTAAAAGATATAGTGTATCAAAATTAAAAATAAAAATTAAATAATCCGTTTTTTAATAAAAACAAAAAGGATCATAGTAAATTTTGTATTATTAAATAAAAGTTAAAATAATAAAAAATACTTTAATTAAATTAAAAGCTTGATATTATATTAAACATAGTGTTAAAAAATGGACAATTGATAATTTAAATAGGTTTTGGATAAGTTTTAGATACTTTCTCTTATTTAAAACCTTATCCAAGTATTTAAAATCTAAAAATATATCCGAAATCCATCATTGAATTTAATCTATTTTGATCTTAAATCATACTTTAAATCTATCTCTAATTTTTAAGTGAATTTGTTTTGAAAATTTATAATATTTTTTTTTAAAAAAAAAGTAATTTAATAAATTTATTAAAAATAATATTTTTTATAATAAATATAATAAATAAATAAATATATATATATATATTTTAAAAAAAGTAGTTAATTAAAAAAAAAAGTTGTAATAAATTTATTAGAAAAATGTAAATTATATCAGGAGATATCAATAACTACCAATAACTACCCCTTTGTATTATGTGAATTGTTTAATATTAAAATATTTATCACATCATATTACACCCTTAAGTTTCCATTTTTATTATTTATTTAGAAAACAGTTTTTTTGAATAGCTAAACCTTATTTATTACATATATATATTTGTTATTGTTAAAGTTAAGGTTAGGATTAATTAAGATTAATTAGAATTATTTAGAGTTAGGTATTAGCATATTATTAGGAAAAAATACTGATATCCCCTGATATGAAATAAATATATTTAATTTATTAATGTTAAATTAAATTATTAGATATAATTAAATAATTAAAACATAAAAATAGTATTTTTTTTTTAATTAAAATTTATATAATTTTATATTATATAATATGAATTCAATATTTAATTAAAATAAAAGTAACTAAAAAATAATATTATAATTTATTTATATTACTTATATGTTTTTAAAAAATTAGTTTAAATTCTTTTTAAAGATATATTAATTTTAAGGATTTGTAATATAGGTTTAAATAATAATATTAGGAAATATTAAGGTCACTCAAATCCAATCCTTTGTTTAATAACCCCCTTTCATATTAGACAAATAAAGAGTAGTTAAACAATATATATTTTATCAATTTGATTAGTTTAATTTGATCACATAATTTCCTATTAGATCTATTAGATTAGCTATATTTCACCATTAGATTAGCTGTATTTTACCATTAAATCAGTTGCATTTTATCATTAGATTAATTATAATTTTTCACATATAAATAGTTTATTTTCTTAATGTTATACTAAAATTCTATTGCATAATAGGCAGTGTTGGCAATTTTATTATTCTAATTACATGAATTGGATAATTAGACATATAAAATTCATATGTTCAATTCAAGTTTTACTTGGTCTAATTATCAATACTGATAACAGATTTCTTTGTTATATATGTACTTAAAGAAATAAAAATAATTATTTCAAATAAAGTTATAAAGGTATTGTCTATAAACTGTTATCAGTTTCATAACATTTTTAATATAGCAATAAATAATCAGTTTAAAAGTTTGAAGGGTATTCAGGTATTTTTAAAAAAGCTTTCAGAAAAATAGGTTTATATAGAAGAAGGACTATAAGACAATATATCTATATTATTTAAACTTAACTTTACATATATTAAGTTTGTTTTAGAAGTAACAAAACTTATAATTCAAGAAAGACTAAACGCATTTCATAATGTATTTATTTTTAAAACAAAAAAAAGATACTTATAAGGAATTACTTTATAATGATATTATTAAATTATTTCAAAGTAAAATGATTAGATAGAAAAATGAAATATAAAATACTTGGAGAAAAAGTTTTGTTAAATATCTAATTAAAATATTATAATATATAGATCCATATCATACTAAATTTACAAAATAATCATTATTATTTGAAAATTTATTCAATGAATTAAATTAATATCAAAAAGACCAAAATTATAATCTTTATTATTTTACTAAAAAGCATGTTAAATATAATCTTGTATAGGATAAGCTTAAAAAACTAATTTTTTCATTAGAATTATTAATAGTATAGCTATGAGCAACTAGTAAAACATGAGAAAATATTATTGAAAAAGTTTTTGTTTTAATATTTTCAATGTAAAAATATGCAAATAACTTGAAGTAAATTAATGATTCTATAAAACAAATATATTTAAGTAATATATTAACATATTAACCAGCTAATATTTTGAAAGTATACAATTGATTTTTGTTAAAAATTAATGTATAATGTCAACAACTTTAAAATCATTTAACTAATATAGTTAATTATACTAAAATTAATTTGAAAAGCTTTTACTTGAAGATGTAATACAATGATACTATTATATTAAAAATCTTCAGATACAATTTCTTATTAATTTATATCAGTATTATCAAGACAATTATCTTGGCATCCTTAACATATTTGAAAGATTCTAATTAATCTTAAAAAATTATTATAAATTACATAAGCATATATACTAATAACTATTTAAGAAAAATTATCATAATATTTCAGTTGACAAATGCAAAAAAATGTATTAAAAAAGGATTTGTAGATATTATTTATATTATACTTAAAAAATATTCTAAAATAAATATATTAATATTTATATATAATTTTTAGTATTTATTAGTTAAAAATATTATACCTGCTATTTTACATATTTTATATTATAATTTAACTAGCAATAGTACTGTAACTACAAATAATATTTGTAAAAATAGCTTCAACTTATGTTATCAATAGAAGACCTATTAATTACGTTAAAATAATAAATTTAAAACATAAAATTT